CGCCCCCTGCCGCGCGCCGCCAAGCTGCCGGGCGCAGGATTCCCGGGGGACGCACGCGGGTCTTGGGAAAGGCCAGGCTCTGGGAAGCGGCTTCTTTCCTATTTGGAAAGCCCATCTTTCGCGGGCGCCGTTGGGGCTGTTGGGTTTGCGATTTCCGTGCGTCTCAGACAGCCACAGACATTTGAGCTCGTATTTTTCTTTTTCTTTCTTTTCTTTCTTTTTTTTTAAAGGTAGACCTGACAAATGAGAGCTAGTCTTTTTCTTTTCTTTTCTTTTTAACGAGAGCTAGTCTTTTAATATCATTCCTTCTCCCAGGGATTGGAACCATGCCTGGTAAACATCGATGACAACAGCAGTACCTAGTATTCCTTGGGCTGTTATCACATGCTTCTTAAAGAAATTATTTCATGCCGGACTCGGTAGCTCAACCTGTCATCCCAGCACTTTGGGAGGCCGAGGCGAGTGGATTGCCTGGGCCTGCGGGTTCGAGACCAGCCCGGGCCACTTGGCAAGACCTCGACTCTACAACAAAGAAAAATAACAATAAATAAAATTAGCCGGGCATGGTAGCGCGAGGCTGTAGTTCAGACTCCTTGGAAGGCTGAGGCGGAAAGATCGTCGGAACCCAGCAGGTCGACGCTGGAGTGGCGGTGAGTGTGCCACTGCGGTTCGGCCTGGGCGACAGAGTGAGGCTCCAACTCAGAAAAAAAAGAAATTATTTCATTGTGACAAAATTGTGCAGGAGATGCTCGTGAATCTCATCTTGCTATTGAGGAAACAGAGAGGTTAAGTACTAAGTAAGTGGGAATCAATGAATAAATGAAATGAATAGACCAGTACTACGTGGTCTGAAACAGTTAAATGAGATCCTGAATTTGAAATTGATTTGAAGGTTCAAAAGCATTATTACATCAAAGCTCCCAGCACTGAGCGCAGTCCATAATAAGTGCTTAATTATCATTTGTTGAAGGAATGTCTTAGTCCCATAGACCTTTTTGGTTTGTTCTGTGAGTCGTCCCTAAAATCCCGAAGACTGTAATCCTCCAAACTTTCATACCTTCCCGGGAGTGTCTACTTGTGTCTCACCATTTGTGAGATAAACATGATGCATAGTTCTGGGATAGTATAGCACACTCTCATGTACTCAACATAGAGGTGCATATTCTGTTTAAAATATTTTATTAAAAATAAAAGAGAATTGTATTCTTCTCTGATCCTTCCAAAGTCTGGGGAGAGATATTAGTCAGACCTTAGCTTGTATCCTTCCAGTCCACATTTTTCTGTTTTACTACAGCTGTTATGCATCCATACAATGTTTCTAATATGTATATGTTATTCTTAAAATAATTCTTCTACAACTGCTCCCTTTTTATTCAGTAGTATGTGCCTGAGATCTATTCTGATTTTACATGTGTGTCTAATTCATTCCATTTAACAACTAGATAGTACTCCACCACTATACCACAATTTATTTACCCGTTCCCATATCAGTAGACACTTAGGTTTATTTATCTCCCGCCTTTCTTTTTTATTTTTTGCAGTAAAAACAATGCTGTAGGGGAATGACTTCCATAATGGTAGCATGAGGAGCTCCATGGATCCTCTTCTTAGTAAAAGATCATAATTGGTTAAAATTATTTAAAAACTCCAACCGTTGAAGTCTCTAAAAATTGTTCCAAAGGCATACAATAAATGAAGATATTTTATTTAAGAAAAATCTACAAAACGTTGGCAAAAACAGTGAGAGTCTGTGGCATTTGAGCCATAAGTCACTCCCTTTCCTAGTCCCCAGCTTGATGTGACAGAAGCTCCATTCTAGACAGGTATAACCAAGAACACCTTTTCTAGCTCTCAGTTAAAGGCTCCAGTATTTCCCTGAGAGGGAAAGACTATCAACATTTCTCATACCCTCCTCCCAAAGCTCCACGCTGCAGAAGCTTTATTCTAGGCAAGACTAATGGAGAGGTCCAGGAATATCCTCCTTCATCCAACCCCCACATGTAAAACAGAAACATTATCCCAGCAGACTGCACATAGGATAGAGGTCCCACACTGGACGAGGTGAGCCACAAAGACCAGAGTCAGATGCCCCAAAAGATAGAGATGTTGATGGTAAGCATAAGAGAAGACTGGTAGCTTCTTGAGAAAATTAAGTTAAACCACAGGTCAGCTAGAAATCTACTAGGGTCAATCAGTGAAAGAGAACCTTCCTGGGGCCAGAACAAATCTCAAAGACTATTCCTGAGCAGAAGCCCAAACTTAATTGGATCAGATTCCAAGTCAATTTATGCCCCAGGGCATTGTTCAAAATAGTAGAGCCATCAGCTGGAAGCTAATGGTGAGGACCAACTGAGTGTAACACCAACAGAGGCAGACAGCTTAACAGAGAACAGGGAAAAAGACAAAGAGAGCCCTGCTAAAACCAGTGTTATCCTATAGTGACTATGTGAGCACGCGAATCTGTGTCCTCAGATAAGTGATATTCGAAACTTTGCACTTGCTGGGCTTGGTGGCTCAGCCTGTAATCTCGCGCTTTGGGAGGCCTAGGTGAGTGGATTGCCTGAGCCCGTGGGTTCAAGACCCACCTGGGCAACTTGGCCAGCACTCATCTCTACAATAAATCAAAAAATTAGCCGGGCATGGTAGCGTGCACCTGTAGTTCCAGCTACTTGGAAAGCTGAGGCAGAAGGATCGTCAGAGCCCAGCAGGTCGAGGCTGCGGTGGCCGGGAGCGACCACTGCACGCCAGTCTGGGTGACAGAGTGAGACTCAACTCAAAAAAAAAAAAAAGAAACTTTGTACTGTATGGGGAATAGGTTTAGTCAGGCTGGGCTGACTAAATGAGTCAGTCCAGCCAAGTCAGTACACAAATGAAGGTGCAAAAAAGATGAGAACTTTTGTGGCGGAGGCAGATCATTAAGTGCAATGGCTGTGTTATTCAAAATGTAGAGTTTTCAGCAAAGCATATGAGACACGAAAAGATACAGGAAAGTGCACCCCAAACAGAGGAAAGAAAGTAGGCAACTAAAACTGCCTGTGAGAGAGTCCATATGTCAAACTTAGCAAAGACTAGAAAGCAACTTAATTATGAATATGAACAACGAACTAAAGAAAACCATGGTGAATGAAGCAAAGGAATGTCTCATCAAATAGAAAATGTCAATAAATAAGTACAAATTATAAAAAATAATCAAATAGAATTTGGAGTTGAAAAGTACAATAACTGAAATTTTTTTTTAAATCACTAGGGGGAACAACAATAGATGCAAATTAGAAGAGGGAAGAATCAGTAAACTTGAAGATAGTTTAATAGAAATTATGCAATATAAACACAGAGAAAAAATGAATGAGGAATAATGAACAGAACCTCCAAGAAACATGTATGTAATCACAGTACCACAGAAAAGAGAAGAAACATCTTTGAGGAAATAATAGCTGTAAACTTTATGAAAGTTGTATGAAAAATAATTATCTATATATCTAAAAAGCTCAATGAGCTCCAAGTAGATAAATACAAAAGGATCCAAACCCAGTTACATTATAGCAAAATTGCTAGAATATGAGAGAAACTTCTTGCAAGCAGCATAAGAAAAAGACCTTGTCCAATACAAGAGCACCCCAATAAGATTAAAGCTGACTTATAATCAGAAATAATGGAGACTATAAGGCAGTGAGATGACATATTCAAAATGCTAAAGGAAAAAGAAAACTGTCAACCAAGAAATTAATATGCATTTTTTTCAAAAATGAGAGCAAAAAATGATATCACCAGTTTAAAGCAAAACAAAAAAATGAAGATAATTTTTTGCTAGCAGACCATAACAGAGCCTTAATGAAGTCCTTATGCTGAAAGCAACGGACCCTAGGTAGTAATTAGAATCTTCAAGAAAACACAAATTGCAAAAGTAATTATAAAATTATAAAAGATGGTGTAGATCCCTATTTCTTTCCCTGTCTCCTCTTAACTGGTGTAAAAAGCACTTGTAAAGATATCTACTTCCCAGTTCAGCATGTAAGTAAACTTGAAAATCATCACTCCTGTCCTCACAACAACAAAATGCTTGAGCAAACTGAAAATCAACAACTCTCCTTGGATTCATCAAAAAGTTGAGATCATGGGGCAAACTACTACTCCCAAAATTAGAGACACAGGCAGGTGGATATAGATAATCACATCTTAATGAATTGAAGTGCAAATTTTCCTGAGTAGAAAAATTTAAACTGCAATTAAAATTCAAACTGTACTTGATAGGTTGCTAGTGTCTCCATGTGAATAAGCTTCAAAGGCTAAAAACTCCCAGGGAGCCTAAATCTTAGAGATCCCTCAGATTTCCATGAGTGAATTGTCCTCTAGGAGTTCTACCAGGTTCCGCAGTAAAAATTATAAAGAATCCCCTTGTGCTTCTGGCAGGGCAAGGGGAATATAGCCATTTTGAAATATGTTCAGAACGTTTCCTTCTTCTTAACAAGCCCTGCCCTCAAGAGAAAGTGTTTTACCAGGGTCTAGCTGTGGGAAGGGAAACACCCAACTTCAGTCCCCTCTTACCTTTCTGTCTCGCCTCAGGTGGGATGGCCACAGCCCAGAGGCATCAGCTCACTACAAAAAAGACCTAATCATGGAACTATGTAATGTTTTCCTTCCTCTTACCACCACATCAATAGGGTTCCACTA